TCTACTACGTACGTAGTATATCTAATTATTATTCTTCTAGAGATGGTATTTCTACATGGATTCCAGGACTATCCTCCTTTTCTCACCTTCCCCTACCAGTAGTATTGTTCATTACTATTCTTACTAGTGACTGTCATGCATATGCAATTCTATGGGCACTTTTTGTTCCATCTATTGTCAGTCTCACTTTGTAATACAGTACATTACCTCTTCTCACATAAATAGCTATTCTCATTCAGTGCTGTCCTCTATATGCAAAAAATATTTTCACATACCACAAGCCTTGAGCTCCCACATACCCTGTGATCAACATGGTTAAACTGAATCTCGCATGTAAATCATTATGCGACAACCCTCTACCAATAGGAATGTGATACACCCTCCTAATGCATGTGACTCCCTCTATTCGATTCTACTGAACTATCACTTCTCGTTTAGCAGTGCTTGTGTTAAGACTTTTTTATCGTGCTCTTCAATTGTATTTTTTTCTTTAAACTTAGTGCATTTTTAAAAAATTAATTTTGAAGTGGAACTGTTCTTTTCAATTTTACAAAGTTCACAAACTTCAAGATAACTTATTTTTTCCCAGTTTTCATTTTTAAAAATTCTAGCACTGTTGTGTTTGATCATTCATTGTTAACAATGAATTCTGAAATCTAAGTTACCCCTTCAAAGGTAATACCATCTTCCAGGATACTTATACAGGCTGTAGGTGGGGGTAACTTGGCTATGGAATTATCAGCTCTCATCTGCCATGAGATTGATTGTTATATGAGTTAACCTGCTTCTTCTGATGTTGCCCATATTCCTCCTGAACGTGCTGAACCTGTTCAGGTAAGTGAGTAATTTGATAGCTTTTCTTCCTCCACCTGATTTTGCTGTGTCTTCCTATGCCCCTACTGCCAAATCAGTTAGGCCTAATACAGCTTTTTAGACATGTTTTCTCAGGTGTGTTCTGTTTCATCTATTTCCCCAATTTCTTATAATCTCCTTCATTTTTTGTTACATGATACCCCCTTCTCTCAGTATTTTGTGCTCCCCCCTTTCCCTGGATATTAGGGTTCATGCAAAGTATTTTGTCTCTCAGATGATTGAGGGTACTAGCATGCCTCGCCCTCCACAGGATTCGGTTTAAGTTTGCTTTAGCCTACCATCAGGCTGAATTTCTGTATGGCCTGCCTCTCCAGTGGGATGTTTTCTGAAATATTCCTGAGACTTTGGAATCCTATGTTGAATCGGTGAGACAGAAATTGACCTTTCATTTTTGGTTGATTTTTTGTCTCATTCAGAGCCTAGACAGGCCCCTATTACTGTTTTCCATCTTGCTCTTTCCCAGCTCTTACCTCCAGGGGTTCCACTTTTCATCGTAGCATTTGATTCAGATGGACATGTTGCCAACAGCACCAACGACTACCTGAGAGCTTGCTTGACTGATTTTGCTCCCCTGTGGCAAGTTTTTGCCACAGATCTGTGGGTTATTAAGGTATTATCCGGGGGATTTGTCATCCACTTCCTCTCCCTCCTGCATTGTCTTGGGTGCTCATATCCTTTCCATTGCCTCAGGATCCTACCACTAGTCAATGTTTGTCTGAGGTGGTACAAAATCTTCTCTCCCTAAAAGCCATCGAACCTGTAATTCATCCTTCTCCAGATCTTTATTTTAGGCTGTTTGTGGTATCCAAGAAAATTGGGTACTGGCAGCCTGTGATCAATTTCTCCTGCCTCAATCAATTTTTGGTTCTGCCCAGATTTACTATGAAGTCTTTTCTCACCCTCAGGTCAGTTTTTTCTCTTGGTTTATGGATGACCAAAATAGATGTCATGAAAGCTTATCTGCATATTCCAATATCTTGTCTGTTGAGGTGCTATATTCAGTTTGTTCACCATGGGGCAGTGTATCAATTTTGCACCCTGACCTTTGGGCTAGCTTCTGCCCCATATGTCTTTTGTTGAGTGGTCAAGGCTTTTGCCCAACATATGCATGCTCAGGAGTTGTGTTTACACTATTACATGAACAACTGGCGTCTGTTAGCTTGTTCCAAACAGGAGCCCATCACACTCATCTACTGCTCCCCGAGGCAACTTTTTTGAGTTGGTTAATCAAGTTAGAGAAGTCATTCCTTATACCTACCCAATATCTACTTGGGTGTTTTTTTCAACACTCATCTCAGTCAGGCCCAACTTTGTCTTCTTCGACTCCATTCGATGGAGCTTTTAGTTGCCCATGCCCTTACAGCTCCCTCTGTTACAGCTTGCGATGTTCTATCATTTTGGGGGATGTGGTCTGCTATGGAAGACCTTATACTCTAGGATCGAGCACATATGAGGTCACTTCAGTGGGCTCTGCATGATTAGTGGAACCTTGCATGGGATCCATGAGAGGCTCCTATTTCCCATGTCGATGATCTTCATTGGTGGTTGGACAGGGCTCCTATGTCAGCAGGTTTTCTGCTTCCTCCCTCGTCTGGATTTGCATATCTTCATGGATGCTTTCCTCCAGGGCTAGGGGGCATGGGTTGATCAGCAGGAAGCTTAAGGTCTGTGGTCTTCAGCCAAGCAATCTTACCATATCAACATCCTGGTGATTCATGCTATACATGATGCTTTGGATCATTTTCTTCACCTTGCCAGTAATGTCTGGTCCTGATACATTCTGACAATTCTACAGTAGTGGCTTATTTCAATCACTAAAGCAGCATCCATTCTCATTCCCTTTGTGTTCAAATCTTGGATCTCCTTTTTTGGGACTACATGCTCAGTATTCAATTCCTTGTGTGCCATATTCTGGGTGCATTCAATCTGGTCACAGATTGTCTTTCCCATCCCGATAAAGTTTATCCAATGGAGTAGTCTCTCGATCCTCTTGTTTTCCAGTGGCTATGCCTTCAGTGGAGTACTCCTCACCTAGATGCATATGCCACATCCCTCAATACCAAGTTACCCATGTTTTGGTCTCCAGTCCCTCATCCACTTGCACTGGTCGTCGATGCATTCAGTCACGATTAAACCAACAAATACCTATATGTGTATCCTTCCATCCGTCTTCTTTCCAGGGTGATTTTGATCATCCATGTCATCCATGTCATGACCATCTAATTGCTCTTTATTGGTCAGCATAACTGTGGTTTCTGTGGCTGCTCTAGCTCAAATCTGCCCCACCATTACCTCTTCCTCCATCCCTTCTACATCAACCTTGGTCACTGCAATTTCGTCTAGCTCTTCAAATTCCCCATCTTCATTCCTGGTTTTTATCTGGTCCTTGGCGAGTAGATCCGGATTGTCCTGGTGAGTCACTTCATTTTTAGCTTGTTCCATTTGCCCTTCCTCTATGGATGTTTCTCAACGTAAGTGGATCATTTTCCACCATTAGTCTATGGATTGGAGGTTTTCTTCTGTTCAATTCACTGTTCCTTTTCTTATGGATTTACTCAATTGGCTGTTTGATCAGGGATCTTTGGTCTCCTCAATCGTGAATTATCAGGCTGCTTTATCCCATACTTTTTATTTTTCCCAGTATAGTAAAGTTTTTACCTCTCCTACCCACTCCCTACTGTTGCATTCCTTCCCAATTTGTCATTCTCCTTGGCATGCAGCCCTTCTGGATTGGGATGTCAATGTGGTTCTTCACCATGTTACTTTGTCTCTCTTTGAATCTCTGTCCTTGTGTTCAATTTTTCACTAATCCCTTACGACCCATTTCCCTCTCCTATTAGCTTGCCCACATCATCAGTCAGATTTAGTTGCCATCAACATTTCATGTACCTTATATCATTCCACATATATTCTCTTTTATCCAGATTGAACTTTCCTTCCCAAAACTTTGTTGGTTCATCAGGGTAACTTACCCTTCACACTGATTCTCTTCCTTCCATTCCCCACATTTATCCTCAGTCTGATAGACTACGTACATGCTCTTTGTTCTTATATTGCCCACATGGCTTCCTTCTGTGGTGCCCATTCCCATCTCTTCATTCCGTGGCAGCTATCCTGTGTTCATGACCTTTCTCTTTCCATCCCTACCAGTTGGGTTCACTTTTAATTCAATTGGCTTATACTCCCTTGTCTCCTTCTTCCTGTAATTTGTTCCAGGTGTCTTCTCATTAGAGTAGGCACCTTACATTTTCCCTGGTGTCTCATCTCTGTCATCCCTTGCGGGAACTTCTTCGATCAGGCATTTGGACCACACCACATACGTTCATCTCTCTCTCTGTCTGCATCAGATCGCTATTTCTTCATTGTCGATTTATTGTCTTCCACCTGTGACAATTCTTCAGACTTCAGTGAGACTGTGACTGGGTAAGTTATTTATTGTATACTTCTTATTTTTCAGGGGCTTTTCCCGTTTTTACTCTATGGATCCTGCTCTTTGGTGAGTGGTGCCTAACCAGGTATCCTTCAAATATTCTTCACACTGTCAGGCCATGATGGCTTAATATTTATAAATTTCATGGCCACTAAATGCTCACTGTGGAGATGGGTTGTTTCACGAGATTGCTTGTAGGTTTTTACTCGCAATATCGATTTGCCTCATTAATACCCCTGTTCCGGACCGTACTCAGCCTGTGTCCTGTTGGACGGCTCTGTGTGCCTTATTATGGAACTCTTATTTTAAGGTTCTTCATCTTATTCTGCCCATATCCTGGGACCCCTATTTTTCATACCATCAGCCCTGGCTCTACAAGTGCTCACTGTGAGATGAAGTGTTCCACTGGAAGACCTCTTGAGGTTTCTTCATGATCTCTCTCTCTCTTTATGTATGTATGTGTATATATATATATATTGCATTTCATATTCAATTCAGACCATACTCATTCAATGGACTATCACGGAAAAAAGCCAACATCAAAGCAGTGTTTCTGCCCACTTCTCTTGCTATTTCTTGCCAGCTTTTAAAAATAGGGTTTCACAGTCACCCATTGCAATGTTACCAGTAAAAGACCTTTTCAGACTGAAGGACCTTCTCCCACAGTTGATAGCCTGATAGTCGAGAAGATGTGCACATTAGGTATAGTCTGAATTAGCCTCAAAAATACTATACATATTAGCTGTCCAACAGCTTTTATGTGAGTACTTGGATGGCCATATTCCTATTCTGCTCATTCTTGTGACACAATTATGGCTTCTTTGCCTCTTCCATTCTCCTATAACTGCAGGTGTGCCCCTATGAAACTCCTGCCATCAGGTGTCACACCCATGAGCTTCCTTTGGATGATTTCTGAAAGGAGCTCATCTAGGTAACCTTTGTACTGGTACCTTCATCATCTCAATGTGTAATTCTAGCTATTCTGTGTTTGGAGGTGATTAATCATTTTGGAAGTTAACATTTTGCTGTACCAGAAAATGTATTTCCAAATAAATACCTCATCACACATTCCCACCCATCCTTCCTACTTTCCAGTGCACATTTCTTCAATGCCTCGATGAAGAATAAGGATCCATAAGCACAAAATGTAGAAGGAATCATTGTGCATGGAGGTGTGTTGCACTCTTATTGGTGGAGGGTTCTGCTGCATGATGACATGCAATACAAGTTCACATGGTTACACATGAGATTAGGTCGGAGTTTTCACAAGACTGGTGGGTTACAAATCTCTTTGACAGAATGCGCAGAAGAACTGAGGAAGATGGCTATTCTGTGTATGGAGGTTAGTATCTGTCAGAAATACATTTTCAGGTAAGGAAAATGATAACATTTTTTCAAGTACAGTTAGGCCTAAAATTACAACACAGATTTTATTGTAATACAAGTTTATCTTTAGGTAGATTATAGACCTTTGCTAGGATACTAAAGTAATTAAATAGTAGATAGAAATAAAGATTTAGCACAAGCAATAGCTAAGTGAGGTAGAATAAGAAGAAGGGGAATTTATGTTAGGGGGTTAAAATTGTCTCCATTGTTGGAACTGGTGCTTGTTGTAGCTGCTGAGTATTACAAAGTAGTACCTTAGTCTTTAGCATATTTAGGATTATTAGTTGTAACTAGACAAAAGTGCATGTAAGTAGTTACACAATTGAGCTACTTTTGTAGATTATTCCTTCAAGACTTTTTATTCAAATGTCACTCAGAACAAGGGAGTTGCTGCCCATTTCACTTTTTATTTATAATAAATACTCTGTCTAAATTATAAAAGAATGTAGCTTAGTAATTTCATGAGGTGGCAAAGGGAAAGCAAGAATTTCTGATGATTTGAAAATTTCAGCTATTTGGCTGCTGAATAAGTAATAATTAATATCCAACAAAAATAAATTTATAGGCATGTTACTGAATGTCCATTATAACTCTAATCAAAATAGTATTGTAAAATCACACACTTTATCATACTTGAGGTACATGACTAATGAGAAAAACGTAACATCAATTCTGAAACCAATAATGTTAAATGTATATTTGAAGGATTATTTGAGTATGATGTGTATACGTATATAAGATTTGTATTATTTTTGTAATTCACATATTTTTATCTGTTTTCTCTATTTTACTGCCATTTACAAATTCTTTTTTGTTGCTAAATGTTCTAGAAAAACCACATGGTTGGTCTAAGCCTTATACCAATGATGTAATTGGTTGCCTTGACTGTTTGAGTTTCTCACCTGAAGACCTGTGTGCTCATGACCTGGCTGATCATAATTATTATGCTATCTGTGCTGGGATCCTGGCTCCAGATGCATATTATTCTTCTAGAAATGGATTTCTACATGGTATTCCTCCTCATATTGACTTACAAACAAACTTATCCCATTTGGTTAAAGAATGTGCACATCCAACATCCCAGTTCAACAGATTTCTAATCGTCCCAAGGTTAGTTAAGGCCCTGCAATTTGCAGAAAAAGAAACACTATAAAAGTTAGTACACTAAAAGTAGTAGAAAATGATGGTGGAAAAAATTACTGAGAAATAAAACACTAGTATTACTAAATTTTATGAAGCAATCAGGAAGCCATTGATTCAAATTAATGTACAAAACGAATTATGGTAATTACTGAAAGGTTCAAATAACTTGAACAAAAGTTTATAAAATATAACTGTATGTTTTAATTTAGCATAGAGTTACACAAAGAAAAGAAATTAAAGCTACAAGAGAAACATCAAATTAAATTCATTGCTTATACAATCTAACTTAGAATAACAGCTACTGTTAAGGAAATCAAACTTGTTTACATTATTGCAAAGGATTCTCATACATAGTGAAAAAAGCTGGAAATTTAGTTTTTTATCAAATAAGAACTGTTGTTAAAATATGTCCTGGTAAAAGTTTCAAGTGTATGTAATAAAAAAAGGCTAAACATACCTATGTAGTAACTATGTGTAAATTGAGTAATCTTTTGATCTGCATAAAATTTGAATTTGTATAAAAAGCTAATTAATTAGGGACAGTATGTACACATATGCACAAGTTTAGTGTGTATTGGTAAATCTTGTTTGTTTTATCAATAGTTTAGTTGGAATAAAATGATATTGATTTTATGTTTTACAATTTTAAGTATTCTACAAGAAATAGAATATCTTCTAAAGCACTTTTTAGTCTGGCTTCATTAACATAAGACAAATAATCAGACTAAGATCTGTCTTGTTTTGCTGTTACTATATAAATTTGTTTTCTTATGATTTTCAAACAGGTTGTTTTTAAAAAATCTTTAAATTTAAAGTTGTCCAACTTAAGACTAAATTAATATTTTATAAAGTTACCAACTGCAGAAGAATATATGATTTTGTTCAGTATAAATGTTTTACACTTTGTAATCATGAATTTTAAATTGAGACTTCAGGGTATTTTTGAAATAAAATTTTATACTTTATTTTCAAAATCATGTTGGATAAATGTTTTTAAAAATACAAAACTTGCACACTTTACTGCTAAATGTAAGTTTATACTATTACTTTTGTACAGTGGCAGTTAATGGAAAGGTAACATTCATACTTTGTGGTTGTGTGTAACTGGGATAGCAAACATAAGTTTGAGAGACCATACTTCTATGTTTTGAGGGTACCGTTATGTACTGTAACTTTGTCATAGGTATGGAACAGAAGTTAATGGAATACAGTGTTTGTACAGTTGAATTAGCAGTCTGAGACTGTTGCTATGAATATTGGTCTCTCAAATCAATTTAACTGATTTACAGCTCAGCTACATGTAGAAAAGAATGTTGATTTAAAAACAAAATAGGATTTGCTTGTTCAGATGTTGAAACATATTTTACTTAAGATACAAAGTCAGTAGTTAATCAGAGATCTCAAGTTTAAGGCAGTGGGTGCGAGCTAACCGAAATGATTGAAGAATTAAGAAATCTTTCACATATGCCTCCACTCTCTAGTGCTTAACAAGTACTCAGGTAATAGTTATTGATCCCAAAAGAATACATAAAAATGCAAAAGAGCATGTCAAAACTTGTCATAAGACCTTAACCTTGTCTGTACAGCAGGGGTCAAAGGACACATCACAACCAGTTTATCATAGAGTTACATTCAAAGTTAATCAAATAACTTTATTATCAATGTAAGTAAATAGATTTGGTATCAAAACATAGCTTAAAATTTAAATTTTAATATTGTGTAAGTTTAATGTCTTAATTTCGAATTCTCAATCTCGACTTCTCTGTACTATGAACCCATATTAAATTTTATTTTTACCCTTATTTGATGATCTCAGTTTACCAAAAATTACAAACTTTAGATATTGCTAAGCCATAATGTAAACTTATAGCCTCCTATCTCATTATGTCTTTCAGAAAGTTTCAACTCAATGATTCTCTCTGGTATTTGTTACTGGATTATCTATAATTGACAGAAAGAGCAGATTCTGCTTCACAAGAGTCATTACGAGGCTAGTTCATTTAGTCATCAAATTAGGAAATATTTAGCCTCAATTTCATTGTTTTCCTTTGTAGTATTCAGCTCAAACAGCTAACAGTTTTTAACCTATATATATAGCTTACTTAGAAAGCCAGTTAAATTATAGTAGTTTTTTTTTGTACATGATAATGTTTTATGTTCCGAATTGCATATTTGAAACAAAATATTTTGAATTACTAACATCATTACACAAAGATTTACTGACCTTGCCACAGCATACTATAAAAAAGGAGAACAACGTAATAACCTTTCCGCAAAATTCTCCAAACTATCTGAAACCTTGTATTCCTGACACAATTACACCTCTCTTACCACATTTTCAGAACATTCACACAGACAAACAAGCCAACTTGAAGTTACACCACCCAGAGCTGATCTTGTCTCCGAGCCAGCAAGTTCAACAGACTCACCTGACTAACAATTCATCCCGATCATTTATATCACCATTCAGTCCATTCTCAACAACCAACTCTCCGCTATATCCATTGGTTTCCCGCATCAATCCCATCCACACAAACCTTTCAGTATCTACACCATTGCTCTCTTCCATGACTATTCTCCCAGAAGCTCTTTCTGTCCCTAGGAACCTACCATTAACTCTAACTCCAATGATCTAAAAATGAACGTTAGTTTACTTTCAGTGTTAATGTCAAATTTTCATTTCTTTTATTAGTGGATTTCAGATTTTTATTATATCATTTTTAATTGTACAAATAATCATCATTCCATATCTTATAAAATCTGTATGTTGTACTATGTATTATAATACTTTGTAGAAACTTATTATATATCAACTTGTTTGTAAAAACTGTTATTTGAAATCTTATGTGTTGTTATGCCTTATGTGTTCAATAAAAAACAACCTCAGTTCTCTATGAGACAGAATGCTCAACCACAGGTGCAGGCATGTACACTGAATCACTCTCCCTCGCTTGATCTTCGTTTCGTTGGGTCGGACGAAAACTTTCGAAAGAGCCTACAAAAACATTTATGCCGCCATGATACTCCTCCACAAACTCTTCTCTGCTTTTCTTGTCTCCCTCTCAATACCAGCCAGCCAAAACAAGTTGACCAAACCATCTCCACCTGATGCAAAACAACATCTCAACAAGAGTGGGGTGAAGAGGAATACCTGACCACCCCTTGTTCAATACCTAAATCACTGCCAATTGTTTTTTTTTGTTTCTTTGGTGACCCGTGTGAATGCCTTTTCATACCTGTGGACAAATGAATTACCATATGCACTGGAAGGCCTGTTGTTTCAGCACTTTAAACCTAGCTTACAGATATTGGCAAGGAAAGCTGGATAATGAAAGTGGTCCTAAAATTGCTTTTAGCACTTGAGATGGTTTGTGTTATGCCATTGGGCTTATGCAATGCGCCTGCTGCTTTTCAGAGGCTAATGAATGTTACTCTAAGAAGGATGCTATGTGAGAGGTACTAGACCTATATCAGTGATGTCTTGGTGTTTGTCCACACATTTGAGTCTACTGAGGATGGTGCTTCAATGATAAGGAAGGCTTGAAGTGGAAACCAGGGAATTGTGCACTTACATATATGCTGGTGGGATTCCTGGTCACATTATGGGTAAAAATGAAGTCTACAGACCCTACAAAGATTTCAGTGGTGCAAAACTGGTTTCATCCCTGACCAGTTAAGGTTTCTGAAGTTTTCTTGGTTTTGTATTGTATTATCAAATTTTGTGGACAGTATTTTCAAGATTACCACATTTTCATCTGCTCTCACTAAAGCTAATTCAGATTTTAGATGGACTGGGCTGTAACCAAACATTTCAATTGTTCACATAATCTGTAGTTGAAGCTAAGTAATTGGCATACCCACAATAAGATTGTAAATCCTTGTTGGATACTAATACCAGTGATAGCAGAATTGGAGCAGTATTGTCATGGTTGCTGGACAGAGTGAAACATGTTATTGCTAGCCATACTTTGATGGCTCCTAAATGCATATACTGCGTGAGAAAGAAAGAACCGCTTGCAGGTGTAGTATTCATTAAACATTATTGCTACTACTTATGTGGTAGAAAACTCACTATTTATGGGGACAATGAGGCATTGAAGTACTTATGAACCTTAAAAATCTGGAAGGGATAATTGATTGTTGGATCAATATGCAAAAAGAGTATGACCTCATTGCCCAGGCCTGCAACATGGAAATGCCAATGAACTGTCTCACTGCACAGAAAACTGCTAACTGTAGTGAGTGAGTTAGTTAAAATGGCAATAAAATATCATGTTAGTTTGCTGACTGGTGTTTATGGTTGTCTAGAACAGTAAATGTAATTTTTGTGTAATATTTTATTTGGTACATGCTATAACAGACTACACAAATATTAATTGTGGCTGAATGAAGTTTGGCTGAATAATACCAGTAATTATTATTATTTTGTGAAGTCAAGAGAGCTGGTCAAGTTTATCATATCTTAGATGATAGCATATTATACTATCCACAGCTATTGAAACCTAACTAGCAATGTAGAACATTTTGTTATGTTTGTAATGGTGCACAAGCTGAAGGCAGTTTTTACAATGTTACTAGTATAGAAGCCACAAAGTAACAATGAGATATATAAGTATATGCCTGTGTACACTTATGAATATGTTTGCAGTGTTGTACACAAGTATCTTACATTAAGTTGTTCATGAATGTATGACACAAGTGAATCAGTTACCAAGATACAACAGTCAAGTAATATATGAATGAAAGTTAAGGTTTTGAGATAAGAAGTAAACCATGATTACTGACACATGAAAATTCATTAGAATATAAAGTGTACCCAGTATTTTCATTAATGCTTATGAGAGAAAGTTTTCAATTTTGACACTGAACTATTTGGCATATAATTTATTTTTCTTATTGAAAAGGTAAAAATAATAGGTGCTCTCTCACTACATGTAAGGGAAAACATGGTTTTTAAGCCATGTTAGTGAAAGGTATTTCCTATTGGATCAAGTAAAAATAGCTAGGAGGGATGAAATTACAGAGTGCAAAATCTATAGAGAGTAGCTTATCTGTGTGATAGAAAAATAAGTAGGTTTAATAAGTCTTGATACAAAATTAATAAACCCCTCTAACCTGAGCGCTTTCAAAAGGTGGACCTTTCTTCTTCAGGGGCAAACTGGGAACCTGAAGAAGAAAAAGTCCACTTTTTGAAAGTGCTCAGGCTATAGGGTTTTTATTGTTTTCTATATAAGAATATCATAACACTTCTAACTCCGTTTAATGTAGTATTATTTGATATTTATCAATTATTCTGAGTACATGTAGTTTTAATATAACACTAGCCAAAAAAGTTAACTTGGAATTTGTTCTAGTTGCCTTATTTCTTTGTCATTCTCTTGAGATAGCACCTGGTCTGCTCGTTATTAGGGTAAGGGTTGGCTCTAATGCTGTACATTATACAGAAATGTCAACAGTAATGTCTTCCAACAGTTGACTATGTGATGTCTTGAGGTTATAATCTCTCTTATGCTTAAATGAAAATGGCCAGTCACATGGGTAGTGCTAATAACTCTTTGTAAATCTGACATTGCCTCTTAACTCTTCAACTGCAGTTGACATTATATAATGTAAGCATTTTGCACACAACATTTTAAATGGTCTGTGCATATGGGGTGGTAGGCAGATTTACACACAAGCCACAAACGAAGGGTTCAGTAAGGAATGTTAGATTTAAACAGTCTAGTATGTAGTCATGACTGGGAAAGTTTGGAAAATAATCTTGATTGATACAGTTTAAAGAGAAAATAGCTTATGATCCACTAAAGGTGACAGTCCAGGATGTAAGCAAACACACATACTTTGTTTATGTTCACTTGTATACTACAATCTGTCCAGTTTCTGTACTTCATTCTCATGAATTCAGTGAAATTTAAAACTACTCTGTAATAGACATCTTATTGAGTCTCCTGTTATTCAGCAGATCTGTATCTGAAAGAAGTGTAGTTGTAGCAAGATTTCTGTTATAGTGGGTTCTCATGATTAAAAACTATAGGTTAACACTTCTACTATTCTTCCATTATTTCACCCTTTTGTAGAATATATATTTTTGAATATTATCTAGAAAGTGTTTGTAAATTTTGCTTCCTGTACCTGGAGTTGTGGGGAATTCACTGTAACCTTGTAAAGTATAGTCATATTAGAATGATCTCAAAAACATTCGAAGGTCAGACCAATCCATGTTGTTTTGACCACTACTTGAGGCAGTTATATGTGATGACCAGCACATTTTTTAAGAAATATTTCCTGATTGTGATTGGCTGGGCTATAAAGCATTGTAATTTCTAAGTTTCTTGACTTTGTGTAAAGTTATAATCAAAATGTTTAAGCCATTGTTTTCTTAACTTTGAAAATTTCTGTTTTCAGTTATATTTAATTTTGTAGTCATATTTTAATTTCATTTATGTTACTTGAAGTTTATTCAAACTCATAGGTATCTCCAAGATGTGCATGGGTGTACTGATTGTCAAGGCAAAATTGAATCGCCTTTAATGCTGGTTGATTTAAAAATATGGCATCCTGGATATTACAGTAAAACAAAAACAGCAACTTGTCTTTGGAAAATGTTTAATATATTAAAAGTGGGTTTTATATTGTTAATGTATATACATAAAATTTTCTTAGTTCAATCTCATCATTTTTCAAATATATATTTGAGAGATAGGAAAAAATTAAACTTTTCACAAGCAGGATTAGCATTTGGACAAAATTGTAATCAAAACATGCTCTACAAAGTATAGCACTACAAAGAATAAAAGGCTAGTGAAAAGAATGAGGTAGATTTGTTTGTTTGAAGTTAAGCACAAAGCTACACTTTGCATTATCTGTGATCTGTCCATCACGGGTATCGAAACCCGATGTCTAGAGTTGTAAGTCTGCAGACATACTGCTGTGCCACTGTGGGCCAAATGAGGCATAAGCAATGCCACAAGCATGGTATGGAAATAATTAGATTTCCAAATTTTCTCTTTCATGGGATACGTAACTCCTCCATATACTTTATTGCTGAGGATATTAATCACAGATGTCACTGTCCAATTAAAGTGTTTTTATAAAGAAAGATTACAGTATATTTTTGGTAAGAAGCTACTAGTATAGTGCCAACCTGCACAGCATTTTATGTAGCCGTACCTAACAGAAATTAAGTATTTTAGTTGTACAATGCCTTAATCATGAAATGTTTATCTTGTAATAAAAAAGTACTCTTAGGTCAGTAAATTCTTTTTTATTTATGGACTGCAAATGGTCTAAGTTAACTTCTACTATAATCTTAAAAAAAAAAGAAAATATTTACAGAAAAGAGACAATAAATGAAGAAGGTTGGTGATGAAATAATTTATGGAGTATGTAGTACTCTGGTTAACTGATAGTTTTCATATGAATTATAAAGATCATAAAGCTTATTGGGCTAGTCCAGAGTCTGCAGAGAGTTGTTATAATAAAATGATTTTGGATATGAAAAATAATAAGTCACATCACAATCTTGGTGGAATAACATTTCAGATCTACATTTTAATATTGTTTTGAGTTAAATAGGTAGTGTGCATGATGTCATCAAAAACTGGTCGCTTATGGGAAGCATGTATAACAGCTGTTTCAAACACAAGGTATTCCTACACTTAGATCATGAAAATGTGTTCAGATTGGGGATTTAGAATTTTCAAGATG